TGGTTTGGTAGGTGCTATCATGCTCTTTAGTGCGTTGCTCGTGACGTCGATCATAACGGGAATGTCAGTCATTGCCAAATTGTAATACATAACTCGCATTGCAAGCCTGTGATGATCGATCTTGTCTTGGCGTGGTTTAAAATCGGCATGCTAATGTTGGGATATCACCAAGGTTCTTGGTTGTGTTCATCGCCTTTGCTTTCCCCACAATTGCTTCCCTAGACGCCTTCTGGGTTTGTTTGCTCGTGGGATTCACGCTCATGCGTGGAGTGCTGCTTGCGAGATTGGAGGTGTTAATCACCCCTCGGCGGCATGAAGAGGCTGTCCACCTGCATAATTCATACTTGTTAGGGTGGTGTTGGTGTTGCGAAGCGCAGCTAGTCAAGGTTCTAGGCAATTGGTTGTTGTTCCTCAGCTCAGCCATGTTCTGTTGCACCGCCTGTGCAACCATTGTCCTGATCATCTCTCTCCATCAGTTGGCCATCCTCGGATTTGATGTCCTTGCCTTCTGGTTGTTTGGCGGCTTGCTAAGCTAGCGGTATAAGTTGTTCGGCGTCCAGCGTTCTCCTTTGCACCTCCTGATGGTGGTTTCCACGTTCTCGTGATTTCCGGTGGTAGTTTCTGATCTGGTGAACACTATTTTGGTCCTAGGACAAGTAAATTGCAGTGAAGTTTGCCAGAATCTTTGAAATATTGGCGAAGGTTTAAGCCCTCCTTCTAGCACCAAGATTTTGATATAGAAATTTGCACCAATCAGCGAGATCCGATCAACCTTGTCGGGATTGGAACTAATGTGTGCGTGATTGAGAATAATATGCATGTATGTAAAAAACGCAATAAAGTAAAGACACTAAGAGTTTTAAGGTTCAGCGAGATTAACTCTAAAGCCTATATCCACTGTTTTTGTATTTGCTATGAGAGCTTACAAATAGTTCCTTTGTGAAATTCGTAACCCCTTCCTCCTCATTGGAGGAGGTTTATATATAGATTTGTACAAAGAAAAGAGCGAAATTAAGGGAATTTAATTGATCTGGATCGCAATTCCTGTATTCTCGCAATTGGGCGTTGTGTTGCGTAGTGATCGCAGTTGATCTAATCATTCCCTAATATATGAGATCTGAAATAATCTGAGGTTGATTGAATGACTCCTTGACCTGTCCACGACTAGCTTATACTGGGTCGAACTTTGGCTCGATGAGCTTCTGCTTGGTTGATCAATCATTGTTGCCGAGCTCATTCTAGGTCGAGCTATATCCTCACGTTGGCCCGAGCTTGGCAGAAAAGCCACACACACATTACCCAAATTAATTTAATTTAATTTTTCTCTATTCTTCTACCGATGATAATTTTAGTATTATGTCGGCAAGGTCGTGTCAAAGCTATTTTATTTAATTTTTTTCTTTTTGATAATGGTTTTATGAAATAATAAATAATTTTTAAATCTAAATTAATTACTATGAATCAATAATGACTTTGAATAGCAAATTACCTATCTCCACTTATTATCCTCAAACTATATATATTGAAAACATGAGATATCTTTTTTAATAAAAATAACACACACATCATAAGAATGAGAAGAGGTTTATTGGTTTTGTTGTATGCGAAAATTTCAAAGAGTAAGTCATACACGAAAATTTATGAAGTTGGTGAATGTTGTAAGACGAAAGAAGAAAAAGACTAATCCTGTCCTTTTGACTTGACTCACTCCTGACTTTGTCTCTCCTCCTTTTGATTAATTGTTCAACCAAAGATAGAACTTAAAAGTTTACTTATAATTTTCTTGACAAAGTGCATGCCGGCATATCCAATCCATGCAAAATAAATAGATATTCTGTTACAAAACCCAGGACCGATTCAACCCTAGACCAAGTTCACTCATTTCTTTCTCCTCTCTTTCATTTCGTTAATATATATATATAACCCTTCTGGATTCTTCACTTTCATTCAAAACTCTCAAGTTTTCCAGAAAATCAATCTTATCGATGATGAACATGTCTGCAAAAAGTTCAAAGCTTCAGGGTCCGCGGCCTGCGGCTCTTAAGGTAAGCAAGAGCTCTTCAAAGATTATACGAAGAAGAAACAATAATAATAATGTTCAAAGAGTAAATCTCCTGTAGTGATATATTTGGTGTCTCCCAAGATTATTCATGTAAGACCTGAAGAATTCATGGGGCTCGTGCAGCGGCTTACCGGAAACAAGCGACGGAATTCAATTCGAATTCAGAATCTTCATGTGCTACTGTAATGGAAAATGGTAATAAGTGTTTAATGGTGGAGTGAATTATGAAGATGAAGTTGCTTTTCGGCGAATTTGGCTGCTGCATACTCTAGCTTATGTATCGACATTTATGCCGACTGGGATAACTTTTAGTTTATTTATGTATAGTTGATATGTTATTTGTTGATCCAGCTCGCTTTGATTAATTATAATGTGTTAATTAATTAGTTCTCTCTTTGAATGTGATTTGGCTTTGTTTATGAGCTAATGTTTATGGGCGAATGAAAGTATATACTTGCTTAGATAAATCAACTCAAAAATTATCCTTTTTATTATTATTATTATTATTATTTCTTTTTCCATTAATAAATAGTAATATACACTCCAAAACTTTCATATACAGATATAGATTACATTATGTTTAATTAGTGTGTCATTTTTAATTTTAAAGTTGAAGGAGCAAACGACAAAATTATTGGAATAGTCGAGATGAAGGAAAGTCATATAGTATAGTACTATGAACTGTCAAATATGAAAGGGTTAATAAATTGTTAAGGTTAATAGACATTTAGCTGCTGCTACCCGAGCTTATGTATCGACATTTATGCCGATTGGCATGACTTTTAGTTAATTTTATTGGGATTACTTTTAGTTAATTATATATAAATCAAACCACACACAACACACATATATATAAAATTTGAGGTGTGTCTGACTCCTCACCGATACCCCTCTTATAAACCAATAAATTAGTGCACCTAATCGGTAGATTTCACACTCTCCTTCACAATCAACCCTTATAAATCAATAGACTTGATTGTACCTAGTCAGTATAAACTTCTAACACACACACACACACACACACACACACACACACACCACACATATATATATATATATATATATAATATATAAACTTATATTATGATGTAAATAATCTTTCTTGATGTTAGTATAAAAACAATAATGTTTTTGGAGATTATTTTCTATATTACAATTATGTAATCACTATCTACACTTCTATTTGGATGTAAGTAACTTTTCCTTATTTGTTTTAGAGATAATTCTTGATCGGGACTGGGTAAATGGCTTGGCAATAAAGCTTGTGCTTTCAGTGAAATTCAAACCTTTGACATTACAGGTAAAGCTCATCCACTAAGAGTTCAGTTACTAGTCAAACCACAATCATGTTACCTTTCCTGATTTTAGTATAGAGATTATTGCTTTCTCTCGTGGACTCTTGCATTGATGAGTTGTCAGCATTGAACTTTTAAACTTTGGTCCATTGGGAGTTGTACCCATGTGCCTACCGTATAATTAGTTTAAATTTGATGGTGGGTATTGAGCATCCTAGTTATTATTTTATGTCTACCACCACTTTTTTAGATTACTTGCGAATAAATTAAGAATTGGTTAGTCTCGGTAGCAATTCCAAAATTAATTCCATAAAACCATTATCAATTACAATATTAGGGGTAAAAGAGCAATTTAATTTAACAACAGTTGCTGCTCTTACTGCCCTTACCCCACTCCACAACCGTGTTCTCTAAAAAACTAGTTGTATCTGTAATTCGATTCACTTTCACCGCGGTTTTCATTTAATATCACCGTTGTTTCTTTACAGAATTTCGTCGAAACCTGGTTGGATTCTTGGTGGCGGCTGAAAGTTGGATTCCTGGTGACAATTTCACTCATTCTTAGTTGCAGGTGATGCACTTGACTTGGTGGAAGTGCTAAGAGGTGGTGAACTTGAGTGTAATGTATGTTTTGACAAAGAGTGAGTTCACCTGGTCTCAGGATGTTCATTAGAGCCGGTTAAGAAAAATGATAAAAGATAAGCCCCCTAGCTAGAAAATAGAAGAGAAAAGGAATACAAATTTCAAGTCGCAAGCTCAAGTCACCCTTACTACTATTCTTCTCAGGATCGTTGAAGCACCCTTTTTAATATTCTTCTCAAGAAAAGGGATAAATGGAAGAATAAACATTTTATTCTAAAATTAAGGCTTCATGTAGAAATTTGAAGGTGGGATTTGAGTCCAATACCACTGTTGGAACTATGCTGCAAAGCCCTTCACCTAGCAAAGTGCGAAGCGAATAGCACTGAACTACATTGTAATTATTGAGGGGGTGAAGGTCGAGTTGGAAAAAACGGGCCAAGAAAACTAAAAGGATTTTTAGGGGTAAAATTGGTATAGTATACATGTAAATTTTCAAAATTTTTAAGGTTCGGGGTGGCCATGGCCCTCCTAGGTCCAATAACACTAACAGCTATTCAAAAGCCTTTTTTTTTTTTTTTTTTTTTTTTCCGTTTCTTTTCTTTCACTGCAGCTGCATTTCTTCAACACTCTTTAAGTTCAGCATTTGCTGAGCTGCTGTGATGATTTATGTCATCTGATGAGTTTGCTTCAATATTGTGGGTTAAAATAGAGTTATAAAAATATATGGACATTCTAAGACTAAAATTAAAGGTAAAAATTAAGAAATTGAATAAATAATGAACAATGAAAAATAGTAAACAAATTCACGAATTACTCAAATCCAAATCCATATGCTCCTTGAATGTTGTAGGAAAAGTTCAAAGCATAAATTAAATTAGGGTGCAGTTTTACATTACGATAAAAGAAACCTTCGACAAGCAGGAATTCAACTATTAAGAAATTGCAAGAACTACGATTTGATAGTCCGGCCTATCAAGTACCACCTTGCTCTTGACATTTATGATCTCCATGACTACGACTACGGCCGCCCAGGGGACCTCAATATTTGGACGACTCACCATTTATTTATAATAAGCGAGAACAGAATACAAAGTTTGAATGAAGGTAAACAGAAGCAACAAAACAGCAGCAAACAAGGAAATCAAAGCCCATGGACTGTTAAAATATTTGTGCCTTAAGTTTGCCATCCATGTGTGAGGTCTGTGGGCGCAATACTGGTTCACACTGACGATTGTATCTTTGTAATGGTTGATAGGAGAGAGATTGACAAGATCATTGAGCGTATTGAAAATGTTGGCAACCGTTGCATCATCACCTAAACAATGATGAAGAATATTGCGCTTACAAAGTAATTCCACATCCTTTTGGGAGTTGATGAGGCAGTCCATGAATTTAATATATTGACTGACAAGCTTGACCTTATCACTTGGAGCGAAGTAGTGCTCATAGACAATAAGATTTCGGAAGATAGACTCCGTTTCTCCGGTAATTTCCAATTGCGGCATTTTCATCGTTCCATTTTCAAAACATATATCAGTCAAGATACTTCTATAAACCCTCTTAAACTTGATTCCTGCCTCCTTAAGCTCTGTGGCACAACGCATGAACCTCGTAAACGTATCATTGGGTGATGGTCTCCGTTTATGTCCATTGGGTGATGGTCTCCGTTTATGTCCATTGGGTGATGGTCTCCGTTTATGTCCATATAAAAACCGACAGTTTTGTTTAACGAGACTACTGATCTCCCAATTCTCTACACGTAGCCAGTTATCATGTACAAAGCACTGACAGTTTTGTTTAACGAGACTACTGATCTCCCAATTCTCTTCACGTAGCCAGTTATCATGTACAAAACCCAGTAGATGCTGATGCTGGCTTTTTTCAGTGGAAATTTGAAAACATACTGCCGATTTTCCCATGACTCTTGATTGGGATGGCAATACAGAAACAGCGAAGAAATTCAAAACCATTTCATGCAAATTGTAATCAACTTTATCTCGCTGTTCTAACGCCGTTGTTATGCTGGATAACTTCTCGAGAACAACGAAGGAGATTTGATTTTCAATTAATAACAAATCGCGGCCCAATTTCTTGATTATCGAACTCAACTCCATCGTGTTATCCATAAACATAAACTTGCGAAGTAGCTCAATAATAAAACTGCCATCAAGGAGCATCATTTCCACAAAGTCATCTGTTTTAATATTTCGAAAATCATCTGCATAGCATGAACGAGCTTGTTCTTCCAATTTCCTCATGGCAGTGACAGACCTATTCACATATTCTTCCCCTGTTCGTTCGAGAAGCTCTTTCAGATACTCCTTTTTGCGCTCTTCCATCTCCTTCACTTGTGGCTCCTCTCGATGATAAGGACCAATTGCTAGCATGTATGGTTCATAGGCCTTTTTGTTCCCCTTACGTAGATGTTCAGGTACTTTAAATATGTGACGACTAGACGATGTTGATTTCAGATGAGCGAGCTTTGTAGCGATACTCTCAGATGCTTGATCATCTATTGTTTTAGCTACTACGCTCTCTTGACCACCATATTCATCAGGCATCTCTATCTCAGTGCTGTCGGGATGAGATGAATGATCATCAGCCATCTCGATCTCTTACTGATGTATTACCATCGGTGTCCCCACAAATCATAAAAGGATATTAGAATTACCAACCATGCATAGGATCATTAATAGGAAATTACGATGTTGATCTATGTTATATTTCTTATAATATGAAAAATTACAACAATTTTAATCTAAGCCCAAGTCAGGTAGTGTTTTTTAAGTAGAAATTTGGAAGGAGTGCACATACAGTGGGCTTGCTAAACAACTATATATACAGTGTTTTCATTTCTTTATTCCAAAGTACATGATCTCAATTCTCAAACATTCCCCATTCAATATCTTAACATACTAAGCCCTCCAACCGTTATATAAGTAAGATTCTTAAGATCTCTTTTGCGAAACATACCCTCCAACGAAGAGAGAAATCAAATTAGCAGTTGAAACTTGGTTCGCATAAACAAATTTCTATGCTGATCGATCTCGGATTTAGTTCACTTGTGATTTCTCAAAAACTGAACCATGATGTTCTTCACTACTTAGAGCATGATGATTCCTAATTCTTAACTTCACATCTAGATGTATTACACTAAGCTCATGAATTTATTATAAACAAAGAAAGTAATCTCATTCTAAATCGCATTCTAAGTTTATGATATAACTACAATTAAATATTAGCATATCGTGTTGAAACTTGAAAGTATTAGTCACTTACTTGTTTGAGTATAGCCTCCGCTAGTCGACAAGATCTAGGAGCTTCCCTGCAAATCGATTTCTTCACTTTCTTTACCGGCAGAAAATGCTGGAGAAATTATACGACGAGACTTCATTTTGTAATTACTGGAGGACAACTAAAAGCTTCCACATGCAGATGTAGGGCCAAAAAATTTAATATAATAAAAAATCTTCTTAAATGCTGCCAGTCACAATCTAATATTCGCGTGCCATTTCAGATTATTGAGTGATTTGATAAAAATGATTAAGTATATTATTTGAGTAATCTTAAATTTGAGCCTATCTTTTAATTGTTAATAGAGGTAGTTATTAAAATTTTTATTTAGTTAAAAGTTTTAAGATTTTGAGAGATTAATAGATAACTCTAATCATTAAAAAAACATATATATCTGAAATGAAAATTTCTCTAAATATAATAACACAGAAGTTGGATGTGATTAATCATTCATGATAAAAGCATATAATATTTGAAATTAATTTGATATAAATTATTAAAGAAATTTGAGTTATTATCTATGTTTATATCAAAAAAATTTTTTTATTAATTTATATTAAAAGTTAACATAATATTAACTTGATTTAAATTTTGATTGAAACTTAAGTTAGGCTATTAAAAGTTATAAAAAATTATATTATAATCTTTCGAAGTTAAAAATAAAAAAATAAAAAAAAGTTTTTGATCAAGTTTTATTCAACATATTTACTCATAACTTTGTTTCTTATTGATTTATTTAAGTAGAAAAATATCTTTAAGCTTCTTAATATTATATAAGTATTTTTTTGTTTAAAGTTTGGTAATATTTTAAAGATTTTACTAATTGATTGACAAATATTAATCACCTGAGGAGGCTTGGGATAAAAATCCTGGGTATTACGAGATATGACAGCTGGGGTCTGATTTATCATTCATGACGCACAAATCATGACATGAGCATATGATATTTTGTATTGATTTGATGCAAATTTCAATTACAATAATGCTAGGGACACCGACACCGAAAATTTTACACTGAAAATGTGTATCGATTTACGTATAATACGCATCTAATTTGTTTAATAATTTTTTTCTAGTGAACGGCCGTTCATCAAATTTGGACGGCCGTTCACTCATATGAACGCTCGTCCATATTATATGAATGAGCGTCCATATACAAGGGACGGGTGTCCCTATTTAAAGGACGCCCGTCTCTGATTAAAATACAATAAAAAAGACGGCCATCCCTTACGTTTGGACGGGCGTCCGTCCATTCTTTAAAAAAAAAAAAAAAAAAATTTCTAAGCCTCTTCTACTTCGCTCTTCTTCTTCGTCTTCATTCCCCATCTCCTGGGTTCTCATGTTAGTTCTTATATTACTGCCAGTTTCATTAATTGGCATTCCAACATCACCATATAAATCTGGGTTTCTTGATTCTCTCTCTCTCTCTCTCTCTGCTGTATGTGCTTAGCTATTCTTGCCATCCTCGCCCATGAAAATGTATTTTAATTTGCATATTGTTCGTATGAATTATTATTATTCGGCTAGGCCACTTGGTGATTTGGAAATTTCTGAAAGGCACATTTAGTGGTGTTTAGAGAACTATCTGGTTCATGTCCTGTGGTATTTGTGAAGGCAAGAGAGATCTTCTTCATGTTTACAGCAAATTAAAATGTATTATATTGTTGCTTATATGGTTGGCCAAGTCTCATTGTTTTCTTTTTTCTTCTGTTCAGGCTGCCTGTGAGGAATTGAGAAATAGCAGAATGTTTCTAAAGCTTCTAGAGGCTGTACTTAAGACTGGGAACCGCATGAATGTTGGGACAAACCGTGGTGATGCTCACGCCTTTAAGCTTGACACACTCCTCAAGCTTGTTGATGTCAAGGATGCCATGGATTCTGACGTGCTCAGCAGTGATGTGTCCAAGCTTTCTAGAGGCCTCGCAAACATCAGCGAGGTTGTGCGATTAGTGAAGGAGATTACATAATACTTTCATGGAAACTCAGCAAAGGAAGAAGCTCATCCCTTCAGAATCTTCATGGTGGTGAGAGACTTTCTTACTGTTCTTGATCGGGTTTGCAAGGAAGTTGGAATGAAGACTAAGAAAAAGAGAGGAGATGTGGAATGAAGACGAAGTTGATATTCTTTGTGCAGTGATTTGACCAAAAAAATGGCGGAAGAGAAGTGTGTGATTGATTTTTTTTTTAAGCAAAAGAAAGGAATGGAGAAACCCAGATTTATACTCTCATGTTAGTGATTGATTACTGCCAGTTTCAATAATGCTCGTTGTTAGTGATTGATTACTGCCAGTTTCAATAATGCTCGTTGTTAGTGATTGATTACTGCCAGTTTCAATAATGCTCGTTGTTAGTGATTGATTATTGCCAGTTTCAATAAGCAAAAGAAAGGAAAGCAATTAATGAAACTGGCAGTAATCTAAGAACTAACATGAGAACCCAGGAGATGGGGAATGAAGACGGAGATGGGGAATGAAGACGAAGAAGAAGAGCGAAGTAGAAGAGGTTTAGAATTTTTTTTTTTTTTTTAAAGCATGGACGCCCGTCCAAACGTAAGGGACGGCCGTCCAAAATTTATGAACGGTCGTCCCTAATGTTTATAAAATTTTTTTATTGTATTTTAATCAGGGACGGGCGTCCTTTAAATGGGGACGCCCGTCCCTTGTATATGGACGCCCGTTCATATAATATGGACGGGCGTCCATGTGAGTGAACGGGCGTTCAAATTTGATGGATGGCCGTTCACTAGAAAAAAATTGTTAAACAAATCATATACGTGTTACACGTAGGCTGATACACATTTTCGGTGTAAAATTTTCGGTATCCCTAGCATTATTGAATTTCAATTATAGCCACGTTTTCTCAAATGGGTACATATCTATTGCATACCTCGTGAATCACACCACCACCTCAGCATATACATTTAAGACACGTAATTTTCATTCCAATTTCGCTGAATGTTGTTGGCCGAATAACTACGGGTGTGTTTGAAAAAATAAGAGTCAATAATGATAACGAAATAGAATTTGAAAATTAATAAAAATATATTTACAAATTTGTTAATTTTTAAATATTTCTGTAATAAAAATATTAAAAATTATAAAAACACCCTCATCCGCATATTAAATATCGGTAGTCGATCACTACCGTTGAAAGATAGTTGGAGTCATCGTCGACGCACGATCGACTGAATCTGGCCAATCATGCTCTGAGATGGCAAAAAATGCTAGATCTACGACTACATTTAGCCATTAACGACTAGATCTGACTGCGTTTGGTCGTCAACAACGGCGAAAGATATGACCGTCTTGATTGTCAACGACGGCTTGACGACTAGCTACGGCCAAAGATCTAGTTGTCAATGACCAGACCTTTGACTATAGATCTGTCATTTTTCGGCCAGATCCACCAACGATAAGACCTTTGGCTGTAGATCTATCATTTTTCGGTCAGATTCACGGTAGATCTGGTCGAAAAAGATTATATCGACGCCTTACTGACCAGATCCAGTTGGTAGTGTGCCATTATACTAGATTTTGGCCACCTTCCGATGGTGGTGGCTGAAATCTGACAAATGTGGGTGGGTGGGAGGTGTTTTTGTTAATTTTTAAACTTTGTTGGGGTGTGTTTAGCCAAATTAACAAAATTAGGGGGTTTAAATTAATTGAATAAAATATAATAGTATTTTCAGAATAGGAAAATAAATGTGTACTTTAGAAATGATAGGAATAGAATAAGAAAAAATAAGGAAACAAACGCACCTATATAATTCTTCTCAAACATTTTACTTAGGGTTGAAAAAAAATCGAAAACCAAACCGAATTAAAACCGCTCTGTAAAACTGATTTTTCAAAATAATTAGTTCGATTTCGATTTTTAAAATAGAGAAAACTAAAAAATTGGTTTGGTTAACGGTTGAATAGTAATTTTGAATGATTAACCGAAACGGTTGTTTCAAATTTTTAAAACTAAAACCAGAGGAGTAAAGAGCGAGAGAGTTGCATGTTTGCTTTGCATTTAATTCTTGAAAACTCTCACCATCTTAGCTGCATGCCTGGTTTGCAATTAATTCCTTGGAACTTTCACCATATTTAATTAAAATTTAAAACACTCCTTCAGCCCTCACGTTTTCAATACCCCACTAACTGTAACTGTAAGGGACGAAGGGTAGGCATAACAGAAAGACCCGTAACAAATAATATCATGGACATGTTTGGTGTGCAATAAAATCCCTTAAACCCGAAGATGGTAAGATAGAGGATAGCCTCTAATCGTGATAATAAAAAGACTTTTTTTTTATTATTATGACTGAGGA